AAGGGAAGTTCAATGTTTTTCATGTATTTAAGACACAAAAAACCCGGTACCATTATATGTTGAGTTGTATCTACAATATGCTCAGAATATGAATTATAGCTACTATTTGCAAAAGCAAAGGAGAGAGCTGCAGTGAATGAGTTTTTCCTGAATATCTGACATATTTTTGTGTAACTTCTGATTTTGAAATCTAAAAAATTATTATCCCTCATCATATTGTTAACTAATACTAGGTTATTTAACTTCAGGGGGAAAAAAGTAGTTCTTTTTATAGATTTATAAAATTTCATGTCATACCATTAATCACTCCAATCAATACTATTTTGTACATTGCCAGTGATATTTATCAGCAAGCTAGGGTTTTAAAATAGGCTCTCCCCCAGATCAAGTATCTCTTTCATGCATGAACCAAGGTCTTGGTAAAATAATATATTTCTAATATGAGAGCTATAATAATGTGAGGATTTCTTTGGACTTTGAAGTTAGATTTGAGTTGAGACTCTTCGGTTTTACCACTTATAACTGCACAACTTGGGAGAATAATGTACCACTCTAAGGCTTAGTGTTCACATCAATAAAGTTCAAGTAATAGTACCATTTATTTTTCAGATTAATGTTATTAAATATGATTATGCATAAGATGTATTTATAGAGCCTCTAGCATATGGAAACATATAATATTCAGTTGTATGGGATGTCCCATATATATTTGTGTGGAGGAAAAAAAAATGCAAACATAATACTGCCTAAAATGAGTTAGATGCAAAAGAATATATACTGAATGATTTTTTTTTTTAATGACTCTTTCATATACAGTAGAAAAACAAGCAAAACTTATCAATCAATGGTGCCTGAAGTTAGGATAGAGGGTTCCCTTATAGTGGGGTAGTCACTGGCAGGGAACTGGAGAAAAATTTCTTAATTTTCTGGTAATATGTTGATTCTGAGGTGTATGTTGATTAAAATAATATCATAAATTTGTAAAAATTCACCAAACTGTATGTAGTCCTATGATGTGTATACCTTTCTATGTATATGTCACACTTCAATCAAAATTTTCTTTAAGGTCTTTTGACAAAAGAAGGTAACCACTGACTAGAAACCCTCTCAGTCAATTATTTTTTTAAAGGATTTTATTCTTTTTAAAATTTTACTTATTTATTTGACAGAGAGATAGAGCCAGAGAGCACAAGCTGGGGGATGGTAGATGTAGGGAAGAGGCAGGCTTCCTGCTAAGCAGGGAGCCCAACACAGTAGCTCCATCCCAGGACCATGAGATCATGACCCGAGCTGAAGGCAGACACTTAACCAACTCTGCCATCCAGTCTCCCAAAGATTTTATTTATTTGAGAGAGAGAGCAAGCAAGCACGTGTCCAGGGAGGGGCAGAGGGAAAGGGAGAGGGAGAAGTAGACTCCGCACTGAGCAGGGAGCCCAACACAGGGCAGGGCTCCTTTCCAGGACCCCTGAGATAATGACCTGAGCTGCCGGCAGACCTTAACCACTGAACTGCCCAGGTGTCCTGGCAATAAAAATTTTATGTAAAGCATGTATTTTTGAAGACTTTGTATTATTCAAAACTCACCTAATCCAAAACTGAGTATCTCATAGAAATAAATGCAAATAAACATTTGCATTATTTTTCTTGAAAATTTGGTTCATAAAACAAGATTTTGTTAATATTTTATACTACTTTAAACTAGCAAAATCTGAATTAACATAAAATGCACATCATTGGAATTATTAAAATTTCAGTAATAGCTAAAAAATATTGCATTTTACCCTCTCTTTAGCATTCTAAGTATTCCTGGTGTCTAACAGAATATTTGGTAAATGCTCAATAAATATATACTGAAGGGCTGATTTTTGAAAGGTGGTTGCATACTTGTATTTGGAAGGGTGCTATTCCTCAAGGCACTGTAACATGTAGAAAAGAGAATATATGAGGATGCTACACCCAATATGCAGTTAACTCTTTACAGTTTAAATTTTCTTATATATAAGGACCAATACAAGTAATAGCTAATTTTCCATAGTATTTATCACGTGTACAGTCACTGGTATAAGAAGTTAACAAATTTTTTTGCTTTTAATTCTCACTCTGAATCTGTAAGAGGTATTAATCTTCCCATTTTTGAGATCATGAAATTAAGGCATAGAGAGGCTAAGGAACTTGACCAAGAACACCCCTAGGAAGAAGAATAGAATTTGATATTAAGCATTCTACATTCAGAGAAAGTGAGCATAATTTACACTACTCTACCACCAGGTAGGAAATTCTTCTAGATTCTTCTCTCCCATCTTCTAGCAAATCAATAAAAAAAAAATCTTCTTTTCTTTTTTAAACAAATACGAGTTTCTGTGATGCAGAATGCAAAATGTGCATGATATTTTAAGATATAAAACAAAATTTTCCATTCAGAATTTTTAACTCTTATAAGTGGCTCCTTTTTGGTGTCTCCAGATTTCTAGTGCTGGTATTTCTGAGGAAAATTCTGAGTTCTACATAACAGTATTTTTCTTAATGAAGTAGTTAAGTGAAGACAGCAACAAAAGAAAAGTCACTGGAGTTGAATGAGGTAGTAAATAACTGAAGAGATTATACAGCAAGTGTAGAATTTTCCTTTTGCCTTTTATGTATTCAATTGAAAAGAAATTGTATTTTACTTCTGAATTCAGTTTACATCTTCTAATTTGCCTTCAGTATTTAAAATTCTATGCCATGTGAAAAGAAGAACTGCTTGCTTTAAAAATTGATTAACTCGTACGGTTATACTTTCCTAAAGAAGTCTTTCTTGTTCAGCTGTAAAAATATTCCTCCTGAGACTTAAAATAACCTGCCTGATGTTAAATCAATTAACCAACCAACAATAACCATCATTAGTGAACTTTAGTGTGGTTGTCCCTTTGAAGTTGTTATACAGGTTTTCTAATCCTGTGCCCCACAGAACAAAATACCCAATTAATATAATGTTTAAAATATGAATCAATTTAACAATGCAAAAATAAAAACAAAACAAAACCTCTCTTTTTTCCTATCATATAGACAAAACAACTTGTTGACAACAATTTTTCACTTTTCAGCTGACTGTCCCAGCTTTGCATAGACAGTGTCTACATTTAATTACATTACTAGTTGATACTCCTTGGGTTTCTTACACCAACTCTTAGAGCTACAATCATCTTTTCTATGAAAGACTTATTATTCTACTATAACTAAAGGAATGTGGTCATTTTCAGTTTAAATTTTCTTTCCTCCGTCACTGTTAATTACCATTCTTGCTTCTCAAATCTACCAGCTGCTGCCACTGCAATGAATAAACGAATCAACTTTACAAGATCCTTAAGAAAGATTTTTCGCAAGATGTCCTCAGAATGCAGAGGTAGCAAACATAGTAAAGATATCCTCTTGCCTAATACAAATACATAGCTCTAATTTTTAGAAACAAAATTAGGAATGTTAAAGTAATTAAACAAGAAGGCCATTAGGCTAAGGTGGCTCAACTGTCTTCATAGCTTATGTAAGCAAACCAAAACCTCAGTCAGAGTCAATTCACTGGAATCTGAAAAAAAAAAAAAGGACACTTAAGAACAATCACAAATAGCTAAGCTTTTCCAAATAAAGCAAACACTTAAGGTATAGCCAAAGGAATACTTTCCTTCCTTTGCTTCCCATGCTCTCTACAAAAACCTCTTCCTTCAAATCCTATCGGTACAGTGCTTCTAACCACTTTCTGTTTGGCTCTGCCTGATTCTAATACATTTTTGCTCAAATAAAGTCTCATAAATTTTAATGTGCCTCAGTTTATCTTTTAAAAGGGGGAAAGTGAATAATATACATTGAGATCTATCAGCTGAAGAATTAACTGTGCATTTTAAATCTGAAAAGAATTGGATTTATAATTCTGTACTTGCTAAACCTGTGTCTTATAATAATGAAAACATTACTTAAAAATGAAAACATTAGTTATTACTCAGTGTGATGTAAAATAATTTGGATATCTGAGGAAATATTTGCTTTCATAATTTATAATATATTCTATGTACATGTTTAGCAGTATATTTAGGACATTACAAGTAAGTAACAAATAATAAAAAAGATGCATTTACATTTAATCAAATGATCTTAAAAGCTTTCCATGCTTCATAAATCTAATGGCAACTAAATTAAGTTCTTGGTTAATTGAAATAATAGGGATATTATAATAAAACATATGTTCATCTGTGCAGTTTTCAGATTTTGTGGCCTTAAAATATCTTAAAAGATTTTTTTGTGCCTGTTTTATTTTTTTTCAGTTTTATTACAAAAAATTTCTAGTAAGTACAGAAGTACCAAGTCATGAGAAGTACCATGCAGCTTCAACAGTCATCACTTCAAGGCCATTCATATTTCATTTATATCTCCATTAATCTGAAGTAAATAACAGATATATTATTTCACACCTAAATATGTCAGCACTATCTCTAAAGCAAAAGAATGGGAAGCAAAACGTTTGGTGTCTATACCTAGCTCATTGGGTGGCAGTCTCCTGTATATTCAATTTTATAACTTGGAAAATACGAGTTTACAGGAGGTTGCAACAAAATTTCCTCTTTAACCACAATAAAAAAGGAAGTAATTAAATCCTCATGTGGCTCCACAGCAGAGAGGCTCAACCCACAAATCCAGGCCGCCGGCATTTCATTCTCTAGAAGCACAAGGCACAGTCAGAAAGCACTTTCTTTCAAGGCTGGAATCCCAGGTACAGTCCACAGGACCCATCCTTTTACACGCTTTGCAGCTCTTCACTGCTCCTTCTTCCCGGAAGTCACCGCCCACTAGGTCCCGGCAGCCCCCTCACCGACTCTGCGTTTCCAGCCGCGTGCGCTCTTGGACACCCTCAGCCTGGGATTGGGAGCATGCGCGCTGGGCATCCCCGGCTCTCCCGATATTCCCGAGATTCTCGTCTGGCACTTCTGGGAAAGGCAACAGTTTGGCCCGCCATGTTCTTCTCCGAGGCGCTCCAGGCCAGCAAGGCTGGCCTTAACTGTAAGGTAAGGAGGTTCAAAATGAGCTTGCGCACTGCTCTGTGTGCCTAATTATTGAAAAATAACTTTTTTTCATACTGGGACAAAAAGGATTTTTTTGGTTGCACTTTAAAGAACCTTCACAACAACAACAACAACAGAAAGTAAATACTGCTTTAAAAGTAAGTTGCTTTTTTTCACACTTGTTCTCCTCTGCTTTTGCAACTAAAACAGCTACAGGTATATCCTTCCCTTCTTTACTGCTGAGGAACCTGAAACTGAAAGGTTTAGTTACATAAGGTCTAGAACTTTAAAATTAGAACACCATGGTTGGAATCTAGGGCTTTTATCTTCATAGCCCATGCACGCTGTGGATCTGTGGCACGTAAACTGTCATGGCCATTTCCGGAGCACATGACAGTCATCGCTAATCAATTTCAACACTCTTTTGCTCCTTGCTTCCATGTCATCCCAGAGTCCTTTTCTATCCAGTACTTTAAGAAGCCATTACCAATCAATTGGCGTTGGGTACAACTTAAAATTTGTTTTTTTTTTTTTTTCCCCCCTGGTCCTTGAAGTTTCCACTAGAGCAGGATGCCTCTTGAGAAATGATTAAATAGTGGCTACTTCCCTGATGGGCTGGGGTTTAAAAATATGAAAACCCAGACTGTCATCTAGCTGATTAATGTTTTCAAAGTCTTACGTGAATAAATTTTAAATAGATTCTGTTCAGTGTATCAACTGCTATCTGGAAACATTTTTCCTTTTTGGAAAGCTGCTTTGGGACAGTTCATTAACATGACCCAATAAATTAGTGATTTTGCAAACTAAAGAGTACTTTAAAACATTTAAGTGCTCTAAAATAATGCAGACTCCCCAAGTGCTCTCAGGGAGCAGGTTATGTGTCAGTAGACTCAAGGAAGGGATTAAAAAACTTGTTAATTTAAGGCTCTATCAGGATGCGGTTAGGAAACAAACAGTGCCCAAGGAAAAGCTCTTTCAGTTTGAGTGGGTTGGTAGCGGCGGATGAGGTCCTGAACTTAACATATTCTGACTTCAGCAGCTGTGCCCATTAATGGTGGCAGCCATGGTGGAACTGATTGGGCTTGAAAGATCTAGTACTAGCGGTACCTAGGGGCATGTTCTCCATCATGAGGGGATATGATTTAAGTATTTGAAAAGTTTATTATTTTCACTGAAACATACTTTTCTTAATGGGTCATAATTATGTTTCAGCTAGAACTGATGTATGATTGTTTTCAACATTTTTTTTTCCCTGTGCCCCTCACATAGATGTGACATAGTCACATTGATAGTGGAAGAACATCAAAAGAGGAGGCTAACCAATGGCCTCAAATAAGTGATTGCATATCCCTCTAAAATCTGGGCATTCTTTCAGACTAAATTATCTGTAGGGAGAAATTGACTTAACTGTAATTTAAGTATTTCAAGATTTCTTTTTATATTGAGGTAGAAATAAACATCCTTTTCTTATTCTTGTCCAGTTGAAGTGATTAGAGATTTCAGGAAGTTCAATTAAAAAATTAAAAATAAAAGAAATCTCTGTGGTGACAAATATAATTTTTGAGCTACATCCATCTAATTTTTGTTTCTTTGCATCCTTTCAATTATTCTTTTTATGACCGGAGACATTTTGCATTGCCCCAGTTGTTTGAATGAAAAGTCAGGTGTGTGTAAATTAAGCATACTTTGCCTGAACAAAGTGTATAACAAGGCATCTACTGCCAGCTTTGCCTCACACAAATGAAAAAAATCTGGGCAGCTCAACAAAGCCTCTGTCAAATCCATGGGTTTCATAGTAGAGACTCTTGATGTGACTGAATATTAGGCTGCTTCTGTTTTGTGGTTTCCTCTTTGTAATCTTTGATGAAATGTTACTTGAAGTTTATGGGATTTTTCTCTCTTTTTAAAAATTCTTAATAAAATTATATGGCAAGAAATACAAAGCAACAAGGGAGAAATGAGACAAGTACAAATGGTAAAGCAGAATGCAACACTTAGAATTTCTGACAGTTGTCTTTGTGACTATCAGCAGGATACAGCTGGACATCTTTAGAATGTGCATAGAACTCACTGTCGAATTTATGAAAATCATTTTCAAATGATTGTCATGCAAGACCAGAATAAATGGTTTCTTCAACTCCCCATAACACTGTAAAGCTTAGACTCTCCTTTAAACCTTCAGGAAATTGTCTGATGACGGGATGCCAGTGATCCCTCCAGGAGAGACTAGTTCCTAACAATACTATATATTTTTGAGGATAGCAAAAACAAAAACAAAAACAAAAACAAACTAAAAAACCAACTATATATGACTAAGGACAAATGTCTGCATATGTTTGATGTCTCATATCCTTTGTCTTTACTAGTTTTCTCTTTCTTCACAGGCCTTCCTCTCTACCTTCAGATACCAGAGAAATGAATGTGTTCTCTTCACAGGTGAATCATATAAGTTCTTAATAAAATGTGGCCTTACCTAGGGTTCAGTCTGTGTTCTTCTACATGCAAATAATCTACCACTTGGTACTGCCCAGCATACTATTCAAACTAGCAAATATTTCTGGCTTCTTTTTGTCAAACATGGGGCTGCAAATATTTGGAGATATCCTTTTTTTAATTTGACCAGTAAAATAATTTTGTCCTTTTGTCCAGAAAATGAACATAGTTTCATAGAGGTTTAGAAATACACAAGTACACAAAAGCCTAAATAAGAGCCAGATATAAAGAAGCAATATCATCAAACTCACACCTGTAGCTATTAGTTCACATTATCTCATTTCTGCTATAAAAGTAAATCAAGAATTGGTAATCTTTAGATAGTCACAGCAATTTGAATTCCCATTTGAATGTGCTTGCTATTCATAAACTATGGGACAACCAAACACTTTGTAATCCCCAAAATCAACTAATACTGAATTTAAGATAGACCCCAGATGACTTTTCATCATCTTTAGAAAGAACACAAAGGTCTTAGATTTTAAAGCATTGACCTCAGTAATTTCCTCCTCATTTAATTTTATTCTAACAGTGACCACAGGAGATACGTATTATCCTTTCTTTTCCCAATGAGGAAGAGGAAAATAACCATGTAGGTAGAAACATCTGGATTTGAATGCAGGTTTGTCTGATTTCAAAGCATACTCTTTTCTGTAGCACTTGATATGGAGAGTTGGGAGTGTTGTTCTAATTTATCTGATGTACTCTTTTAAATATACTACTTTATTAAATGAGTTAAATCTCTGTTCAGAAATGACTGCTACTAGATCTGTTGTTAATATTTCTATTTAAATATATGGTATACTTTGATCTAAAATAGTCTGGAAAATCTACATATGAACAAATATACTTGAACGCTAAGTATGTGATTTCTCCCTAGGGAGATTATGGCAAGAGACAACTGAAATAAAATTGCTGACCAGTAACTTAATTCCAAGACATCTATCCCAAGAAAAGCATTCAGAAGAAAAAGAAAAAGACTTACAGAGGTATAAATTACAAATTTTTCTCCTTTTTTTCGTGTAATGCCAGGGATTGGGCAAGGGAAGACAAAAACATACTGTCTGGCAACAGAAGACTGATCATGTAAGTAAATCTCCCATCAATGTAATACAATATTTTCAGCCATTAAAATATGAAAGTTTTGAAGACTATGGAAATATGAGGTAATATCTTCAATTATATGTGAATTTGGGCAAGGAAGGTCTTAAAGATTATATTGAAGCAATAAAACAGTGAATGTATTACAGTGGCACAGAGTGGCAGGGTAAATTTTTTGCTTTAAGCTTTCTCCTTTTAAGGATGTGGGCAAAGGGGAACCCTCTTACACTGTTGGTGGGAATGCAAGTTGGTGCAGCCACTTTGGAAAACAGTGTGGAAGTTCCTCAAAAAATTAAAAATAGAACTACCCTGTGACTGGCAATTACACTACTGGTTATTTACCCCAAAGATACAGATGTTGTGAAAAGAAGGGCCATTTGCATCCCAATGTTCATAGCAGCAAGTTCCACAATAACCAAACTGCGTTAAAGAGCCAAGATGCCCTTCAGCAGATGAATGGATAAAGAAGATGTGGTCCCTATATACAATGGAATATTACTCAGCTATCAGAAATGATGAGTACACAACTTTTGCATTAGCATGGATGGGACTGGAGGAGATTATGCCCAGTGAAATAAGTCAAGCAGAGAAAGCCAATTATCATATGGTTTCACTTACTCATGGAACATAAGGAATAGCGTGGAGGATATTGGGAAAAGGAAGGGAAAAATGAAGGGGGGAAATTGGATGGGGAGACGAACCATGAGAGACTGTGGACTCTGGGAAATAAACTGAGGGTTTTAGAGGTGGGGGATGGGTCGGTCTGGTGATGGGTATTAAGGAGGGCATGTATTGCATGGAGTACTGGATGTTATGCATAAACAATGAATCTTGGAACACTACATCAAAAATATAATGGCATACTGTATGGTGACTAACATAGCATAATAATAATAATAATAAAAATATATAAAAAATAAATTTTCTCTTTTAAGTGTTATCAAAAAATGTTTAAAGTATTGTTTGAAAAAAAAGTTATTGGCATCTAGCTTTCCATATTGCAAATGTCAGGTGCAAAATTTAATATGATTTTGCATGTGGTTATATAACATTTATTTCATGTTGTCCTGTATAAGTAAGACATTCTATACAACACGGGAGGATTAGAGACAATGTCTTTTCTATACCTTATTCTATCTGCCATCTTAGAGGATAATAACTGAAAACTTTGCAAAGGGAGTTAATTGGTTAGATCACTTGCTCACTTGCCAAAGTGATCCACCTCGTTGACTTTAAGGACCAAACATACATATTTAAGTAAAAACAGTCTCTATTATGTAAAAAACTTGGTATATAATGGAGAATGTCTAAATCAAACTTACTGTGTTTTAGATTTATTTATTTTAGAGAAAAAGAGAAAAAGCAGGGGGAGGAACAAATAGAGAGGGAGAGAATCTAAGTAGACTCCCCACTGAGTGCAGAGCCCAAGACAGGGCTTGAGCTCAGGACCCTGAGATCATGACCTGAGCTGAAATCAAGAGTTGGATGCTTAGCCCACTGAATGACCCAGGTGCCCAAATCAAACTAATTTTTTAAAAATCTGTCTTAAGTGAGGCTTTTCCCTTGTTCCTATAGATATATAAAAGCAGTTATTAATATATTCTACTTATGATCAGATACATAAAATCCCAAAAGACTCACTAAAATATCCCAGAAATAAATGTACAGCTGAATTCATTATAAAAAGATGTTGAATTTTCCAGGGGTGGGGTGAACCCAGAGTCTTCCCTAAACTCTTTCTTTCTTTTTTTTTTTTAAAGACTTTATTTATTTATTTGACAGAGAGAGAGAAAGAACAAGCAGGGGAAGCAGCAGGCAGAGGGAGAGGGCGAAGCACCCGATGCAGGACTCCAGCCCAGGTCCCTGGTATCATGACCTGAGCAGAAGGCAAACAACCAACAGAGCCACCCAGGTGCCCCTTCCCTAAATTATTCTTAGTGTTCTTCTGTGTCAGTATTAGATCTGAAAACTACGAACTCTACAACTGGCCCTCATTCCTGCACTTAAATATGACAAGTGTGCACATATTTCTCCTCATGACTTTATATCATCAATGCAGCTCAATTCTTTCTTCTTAACTTTACTATCTATGCTGGTGGTCACGGATCTCAGGAACCACAGAAAGGTTTTAAAAGATAATTCCTAGACCCATATAGACAATATTCTGAAACCTCAAGAAAACCAATTTTTCCAAATTTCAAAAATATAGATCTTGGAGATCTAGTCAGGTACTCTACTCAGCTTTCAGAAATTAATTTTGGGGTTTTTTTTCAACACTAGGATATCAGTACCTCCTATGAACCTGATATCTGGGAGGAGGTCTTCAATCTATACTTCTTCAGGGATGTCCTAAAATCAAAGATCATACTATTTGGGAGAAAATTCCTGGAGAGATTTTGTGTTTCCATGGCCTGTTTAAAATTGGCCACTGAACCTTAGACCCAGTGACTCACAGCCCCACTGACAATTCAGGCACAGAGCCTGGGCAGCTCCATAATGGTTTTCTTCTCTAATTCCCCCTGTTTTTTCATCCATTCAGTCTACTTAAGAAGTTCTGCATCACAAGAACTATTTTTGCATCTTCCGTGATTCTGCTTGAAAGTCAGCTCCATAGGGGCACCTGGGTGGCTCAGTTGGTTAAGCATCTGTCTTTGGCTCAGGTCATTATACTACAGTCCTGGGATCAAGTCCCACATTAAGCTTCTTGCCCAGGTTATTTGACATGATGGGGTGGCTGTGAGATAGCAAATAGGTGGCAAGAATAAAAGCCCCATACTGTATTTTGAAATATTTTAATTTTTTTAAAGATAAACTTGATGACTTTCAAGCTCATCACCTTTTTTTATTTCTTTGTTAAAAAGCTCTTTTTCCACATATACTTGGATACTGGTTTCCTTTCACATGGAGATACTATACTATAAATGAAACTGGAAACAGCTTTTCCTATATTCTTTCCCATCTTTGTAAATCAATCTTTAAAGGAGGGATTTACTTTTCTTCCATTTTCTAAAGGATGACAAAGACCAATAAATGGCAGTCTCAAAGGAAAACCACAACTGATATAACGCCTAAAAATTTGTGAAAGAGAACAGACTTGAAGAAATTACTCTATTTCCTGATCGTGTTATCCATAAATGAAATGGCAGCCAGTTTTTTGAGATACTCCATGAGGAGGACCAATTTATATTAGCAGAAAATCATGTGTATCCTCTTATATAGTAGATTTTTCAAATGTGATAGATATTTGGTTAACTTCAGAATGTAGATTTTCTTTTTTCAGTAAATGATTAATATGACTCTATTAAGTTTCATACTGAAACAGTCAGTATATTAAAGGTAAATTTAAATACACATGTATGTACTTAATAAATAGTTATCATACTAGGAGCGTTGCTTGCTAAACACTCTCAAGATTTGTCCTTGGCCATGAACATCTCATGGGTGAATGAATATGAGAAAGAGTCCCCAGTGAAAAAGTAGAGTAAGTCACAATTATATATAAATAAGAACTCAGTCCAGTGGAAGAAATCTCATTTTTTCCAAACATAAACAGTTTTCGGAGCTCCTCTTTCCAGAAAGAAAGCTCAGCCATTGTCAAATAATATGCGGTGAGCTGAACTAACTTCTCTTATGTGAAGCCATAATTAGGGATACAGTCACCGATATTCAGAAACGTAATCTTCTCATTGGTGTCCTATACCTCTACATAAAATTGCGCTCTTGAAAAGGACAATGCAAAATGATAACTCAAAATCAAGATAGTTTCATTTAAGTCAGTTTAACTGAAGTATTCGGATTGTTTTGGCTTTACAAACCCAATCAGTTCCCTGGTGGGAGTCACCTAACTCCTTTCAGCAATAAAGTAAATTTAACCTACTAAATGTATATGCCTTGTGGTTCAAAGTTAAGATTAAAAAAAAAAAAAGTCCATTGTGGGCAAAGCCAATTTTGAGCCATTTGTGTAGTTGAGATGATGCCTATTTTTATAGAATTCAAACAAGGAACCTGACTTTTTTCTCTAATTTCAAACTTACATTATTACAAATAAAGTACCCTGAGCTACACAGATATGTTTCTCATTTTAGCACAAATTTTTAAGGTTAGATAATTGATTCTAAGCAAGGAATGACCACTTAACTTTCTTGTAATGACAAAATTCATTGTATAATTAGTAATTTCTGTGATCTGATAGAGTAATTTGGATTGTGTAATTTGGATAAAGTAATTGTGATTTGGATAGAGTAACTAAAATGAGGGATTAACAAACATCTTTGTACCCCAATATCACAATATTTCAGGACTAGAAAATCGTGGTACATTTAGAATGCTCTCATTTTACAGACAATGAAAGGCAGTATACTGTAATGGCTAAGAACAAAGTTTCTGGACTCAGAACTAGCATCAGATCAGATCTGCCACTTCTTGGACAGTATCTCTAGATAAAGTAAAAATTATTAATAGCATATAGCTTAACATTTATTGGATACTTAACAATGTTCAAGCACTGTGCTAAAAACCTTGTATTCATATTCTTAATGAATTCTCACAACTGTATGAGGTGTAGGTATTATTATCATCCCCAGTATGTAGACGAGGAAATGAAGCTTGGCAAATTTGCTTAAGTTGGTAGAAACTCTGGTACTAAAATCATATTGGATTGAGACTAAAGACCATGCTATTACGTGCTACCTGTCCAGTAGTTTTTCTCAGATGTTCTTGAGTCTCGGTTTTCCCAATGGTAATGTTGTGCAACGATATGTCACTTGTGATAAAGAAAGAAGTATGTGGGGGCACCTGGGTGGCTCAGTGGGTTAAAGCCTCTGCCTTCGGCTCAGGTCATGATCTCAGGGTCCTGGGATAGAGCCCCACATCTGGCTCTCTGCTCAGCAGGGAGCCTGCTTCCTCCTCTCTCTCTCTGCCTGTCTCTCTGACTACTTGTGATCTCTCTGTCTCTGTCAAGTAAATAAATAAAATCTAAAAAAAAAAAAAAGAAAGAAAGAAGTATGTGGTAGTACCTAGAAAGAGTAAGCCCAAACTCTCAGCAATTAAAACTCATTTCTCATATCCAACCCAGTGATTTGTTCTTGTTGTTGTTGTTATTGAACAGTGTGTCATTTGGGCTTCATGTTTATTTCAAGCTGATCAGTGTATATTGATAATGAGTTTTATTTGTTGACAACATTGTTTCACAACCCTTCTAATCTTATTTTTAGAGCACACAAAACTAGTTTGAAATAACCTCATATTACTTAAGAAAATGAGATAATTTGAAATATTTAGAAAAGAAGGAACGGTCTCCTTCTGTAAATTGGACAAACTGTGGAATTCAAGAGAATTAGAGTTTCTTGAATAAAATGTGAACAGAAGCTTATTGGATCTGATTTGTCCATCTTATTTTGAGTTCTAAAATTATAACTTGGAATTTTTAGTAGGAATTTTCTAACTGATGAAAGCTGGGAAATTAAAACATTCTAAAATCTTGTTGTGGTAAATTATTTGAGACTCCATAATCATACTCCTCAGCAGTATCCCATAAATAGCTACACTCAGACTTATACTTTTACCATATTTCTTTAGATAATGATGCAGGGACTGATAAAGTGGCAAAATGGCCCGATGAGCTCATCGCACTCTGGGTATGGAGGGAGTGAGTGCTGCTTTTGGCATGCTTTGGAGTGGTGTAGTACAAGTCATTTAACATCCAACAATGAAATAATATATGGGAAAGTTGTAAAGTGCAGTTCAGCTGAGAGTCATTATGGCTAATGCTAATTCAATTCTATTTCTTTTGCTCTAAAGTGAAGACTAGGATTGGGAAGTGCTTTGTAAACATACAGTGACTTATGGATGTATAATTATAAAGTAATGAATTCTGCATTTTTCATTTTCATTTCCTTAATGTTTTCAGCAAACATTATTGAGTGCCTAAATGTTTTATCATATGAATATATTTCACTTGTATGTCAAATTAAACATTTCAGAGAGAATAGGAATCACTGAGTTTTCATCCAGTGTTTTCCCCTAACTCTGGAATTATTGTCCTAATATTCACCCTGGCCTAATGCCTCAGTTCTTTCTTAGAATGCTCAGAAAGCAAGGGATTATTGTCACATAACTCGCCTCATGCTGTGTCCTGCTTTCTATTGCCAATTGTTTCTCACAGACCTATTTTTGATTCATATTTAGAAATGGGTAACTAGATAGAGTCGTGAAAAGTATTTTTTTAGATTACTCTCTCTGAGATTAAAATACAGTAACCATCCAAGTAGAACAGGTTTTTAAATAAATTTTTCTGAGCTCCTTGTGACTACTCCCTGATAAGGATCTAAGAATGGAAAGAAATGAAAGGGAAGTCCTCTCGACTACCTTGAACTTCATTTTGTTGCCTTTATATAGCAAAACAAAAATTTTAGGAGAATTCTTTGACTGTCTTTTTAAATAGGCTATCAGAGTTTCCAAAGGTTTTTGTTTTGGTTTTTTTGTCGTTGTTGGTTTTTTGTTTTGTTTTGTTTTTTGTTTTTTGTTTTTTTAAGTTTAGCACTAATCTCAGATACTTACAGGCCTTCTTTTCAGAACTTTCTTTTTATTGCCAGCTTTCTAAAGAATTAAAGTTTTGTTTAACTGCTTTGCGTAGTTATTATTAGCACAGCCCATTAAAGCCCAGTGTTTACCTTCTTGGAGAGACTGAAGCAACAGGGCTGAAGTGTTCACTTGATTTGAATTGAAAGATTGCAAAGCAATTAGAACATAGTGTATTTGGTTGGGAGTCTGAAGCATCTGTTTAAGCATTCATTCTATACGATGTCATTCGTAATTGAAATTAGAACCATTTAGCCATAATGCTTTTTTAGGGTCCATTACTGAAATTGTAATACTAATGTCAGTCCATGAATAAGGCTTTGAAATACAGGATAGGAGAATCTGCTTCCTAACTGGCAAAGTTTCAGGAGAGGAAGAACACTGACACATTCACATCCAGAGACTAAAAGTGTAACTGATGTGTAATTTAGCAATCTGCAATCCAAGAAAGTGTGTTTGCTGACAATGGACTCATTAGAACTTCTCTTCTACTGCCAAGAGGCACAGGAAAAAAAAAAAAATAAATTTTTCTGGCAGTTCCTAGTGTTGATGGAGGAATCTAAGTGACCTTCAATGGGCCCATGGTAAAAGGAAAGCTTTGTTTTGTGTTCCAGTAGGCCTGAAAACGGTCATTTTGTAACTCAATAAAGGTGTGTGTTCTAGGAAGTCAGAGGAGTTATTTGTTAATACACTAGGCTCCAACAGAGGAAGTTGGGTTAAATATGTCAGTAGAAAATTTATGATGCATGCAGGAGGCTTCCTGAGTTTAGGTTCCTGAGGGATTCTGTATTAATAGAGAAAAATCAGAGGGAAAAGCTTTTAGTGTGAGCCTCGAAATAGGGTGGCTCCATGAGCTTTAGAATTAATTTGGGATGAATTTTCTCAAAATAAAATTTACTGTTTGAGGCTACTTCAAATTATCCAGTTAGTAACTTACTGTACATAAAGCCAAAAAGTGTGTATGTGTATTTGTAACCAATTTCATTATTAATATCTCTTGTTAGTTGAACGTGACCAGTACCCTCTGCATTGGAGGAAGCTATACATCCTCACTGCTGGGGTACATATTTCTTTCATATTGCCACAAAACTTTACCCTACAGTGTTTTCCAAAAACCTATCACTGTGTCTTTTAGTTTTCTTCTTTTTAATTAAAAGAGTTGTTGATGTTTCAAGAAACCTAGAGAATAATCTATAGCATCATGACATATAGATGCCTTAGATTGCTAAGACATAAGGAATTTCCATTTGGGTAATAATTTCCACATCTGCATTATTACAAGAAAGCATTGAAATATGTTTTGAATATTTTACAGAGTGGTTAGAAACTTATTTGTTAAGGATTAAATTTAAGAGTACAATGCAAAGTGAAATTGTTGCAAGGTGTAAAGATATTCATGCAGTCAATTTCAGCTGACAATACTAATTTATAATAAGAACTAAAATTATTCATGTATAAATTTCCAACACTGAAAAACTAGGTAATTGGTATTTTCAAGCACTTACTAGTCTATAGGTAAAGATAAAGTTAGATTAGCAGTTAAAAATTCAGACATCGTTTTCCCTGGGCTCACAAAGAACACTTGCTGGGTGCTGTCAGCGCACTACTGGGTGTTCTCTAGGTACTGACATGTGTATCAGGCATGTTTGACATATTTTTAACTTAAGGGCTATCAAGAAGCCAAAACTACTACGTTTTCTACGCAAAGACTGCCTCCTCACCTTTACGTGTTACTAAATTTGAGGGCTCAAATTAAATGCTGCTTTTATTCTGAATTTTAGTGGAACAGCTTTTTATAAAGATATGTATGACTCTGAATAATTCAAAATAAACTCATTTTGTTTTTCTCTTATTACCCACTTTAATTTCTAAAGTGAAGAATTTTAGATAGTCTGATTAAAGCATTTTCAATAACATAAATACTGTTTATTTCCTCACAAAGTTGTTAAAACCAATTTAAACATATCCTAAAATAATTTATAAATTCCCTATTTAAAAAGGAAAAAAAACTTTTTTTTTTTTAAATGTTCTTTATACAACTTCTTACCAGTAATAGACAACTCTGTCCTTCCAGTCACTTGGGCCAGAATCCTTGAAATTTCCTTGACTCAGATTTTTCTCTCATACTACATCCTAAATACCAGAAACTTCTGAGGGCTGTATTCTCCAGATCTAGCCAAAACTTCTTTGCTGTTTCCACTACTAATATTCTGTTCCAAGGCATTGTCACCGCATCATGGATTATTCCAACAGTCTCCTTAAATGGTACCCTTGCTTATGTTCTCTGCCTCTAAAATCTGGAAGAAAGAGTATTCCTTTTAATATGCAGGCTGGATCTTGTTACTACTTTGTTTAAAACTCTGCCATAGATTTTCATCTCACTTAGACCAAATGTGACTTAACATGATCCGCCTTCCCCATTCCTCCTCTCCAGTACATCTTCTACACTCTTCCTCACTATCTCTTAAGCACCCATACTGGCCCTCTTACTAATTCTTTTAGGGACCAAGGCACATGCTGACATTATGTAAGCATTGAGCCTCTCTCTAACCATCTGATGTTAATTAGCACACACACATGCAACAAATATTCTCTATCTTATTAAGTTGCTTTATTTATTTTGTTTATTATGTCACTCACCAAATATTCACTGTGTACCTGTTATGTTCAAGGCACTGTTTTATGTATTAGGGATATACTAGTCAACAAAAATAGTCAAAAACTCTGTTCTCATGGAGTCTGTATGCTGGTGGAGTTACATTTTTTTTGTGGCCCTTATGAACATGCGACCATATATTTACTTAGTGGGATTTTAGCCCCTCAGAGCTTAGAATACTCTTTATCACATGG